GAGTCCTGTGGGTCTCCGGGCTGACCTACAGGGCTTGGTAGCGAGTCCTGTCGGTCTCCTGCCCGACTTCCAGGGTTTCATAGTAGAGTTTGCATGTTCTCCTATACATGCGTGGGGTCTCTCCGGGTACTCCGGCTTCCTCCCAAAGTCCAAAAGCATGACTGTTAGGCACCTGACGATCCTACCCATGGGATCACCAATCACATCATTAATCACGTGTTTTGCGGCTGTTTCAGACCAGCCACAGAAGCAGCCACCAGACGTCTACGACCACCAGATGTGTGGTCGGAGACTTTTTTTGTTTTTTACTTGTCCGCAAGAGGAGTCTTTAATCCTTCGAAAACATTCCCATATACAAGTTTTGCCCTAAATGTTATGGTTTTATAGCTATTTAAAAACAGTTGACGAAAGTTAAAGGTCTAGGACATGTTGTAGTTTTATAAAACACACTTCGTAAACAACAAATTTAGTTGCTGACCGGACATGTCCGGTATCACGTTACATGGGAGAGACTGACCTTTCAAGACATCAGGTGATCGCCTTTGTAAATTCACTCCCGGGTCAGAATTTTAACTGCATAATTTAACACCCTGCCGTGCGCTGTGCACATGCCCACTGGCAGCAGGGACTGTTTCCTGTGTATGGCTCGCTACTGCTAGAGTTTCATCCGTCTTCCTTCAGGTCAGTTCATTGGTGATTTATTTTTGGGAAAATCTATTATTTGTGATGGCACAGCAGAAGAAACAATGATTTAGAGGCTTTGGAAGAGGCTTTTTTTAGAGGCTTCTCTGGGGCACACGGAGCTTTTCTGATAGAAGCGCACGAAGCTGTGCACGGGAGTTCCTGCGTTTTTGCTCTCTCAGATTGTTTGGTAAGTTATTTTCTTTTACAGCAGCTTTAGACAACATGACTGACTTAGTTATTTTTGTCTTATATTACATGATATCAGCTGTTGAGATACAAGCGTAAAATAAGGCTTGATTCTTGAGAAGAGGGACAAAACAGCTCCTATGGATAAAGCACAAAATTTGAATAAAATGTACACAAAATATATTTTTTTCAAATAACTGACTAAACTAACCTGGGTCATGTGAGCACAAAAATGTATGTTTTCCTGGTGTTTGCTGAATATTTTTTATTTTAAACTTTGTAGTAGGTGGATGGTGTCTTTAAAATCCCTTGTCCTGAAGCAGAACTCAATACATTCTAATAGTTTAAAACAATTCAAAAAATACTAAAATAATATATTATGACAATTACCATATTTTCTGGACTATTAGGCGCACCTAAAAGCCTTAAATTTTCTCAAAAATCAGCAGTGCGCCTTATAATCCAGTGCACCTTATGTGTGCACTGAATTTCAAAATTTGTCCCTGACCATAGACGTAATATAAGAATAGACGCCTCATGGACCGCTCTCGAGATTTAGGGCAGCCATCTTGGAAGGGTCAACCGCTCCACTCAGCGTTATATGTCTGGCAGGCACAATGACATATGAGCGCATTTAATTGATTATAACACGCCTTTTTGTTACTTGAGACCATATTCAAACGTCTATCAAAGCTATATTTATAAACAATTGTATTTTCGAAGTATTTTTTAATTGTACTGATACGTTCAGCAAATTTAAATATGCATAGTGGGGAAAACAATATAATAGGAAAAGAATATTCTGATATTGATGTATGATGAGCACTTTACACAGCCGTTCATAATTAATTAAAAAAATTATTTAGTAATATCAATACATATTTATATAAATACATGTTTACATGTACATATAAATATGTACAGCCTAATATATATTATCTGTAGTCTGTTTTCCAGTCGACAAGTTGTAGCCTCAGAGTGATTCAGCAGCTGAGTTTGAGTCCAAAATCTGACGCGAGATTCATCCGTGCTGCAGTGAATTCGTCTCTAGATATTTCCCTCTTCTTCCTCACATCCTGTCTATATGAGACCTTCAAAACGAGGTGCCTGTGGT